GGTCACGTTCAAATAGATAAGGGGAGATGGAGTATGATAGACCGAAATTAACATAAATTGGATTACGCTTCAATTACATCACTTAGATAAACAATTAGACATTAGAGAATATAACAAGAAATACAAACAGAGTAATATCAATAGTAATAGTTATAATAACAATAACAGTAATAGTGTTGAAGTGGGTTAAGATAATCCTACTGATAAAAGATAGTTTTAAATGAATCCAGAATAAAAATAATGATAATAATAATAGGTAGAATAATAGTAAGCAAACAGTAATAAGTAAAACGTATTACCATGGTAGATTCAGAGTCACGACCATCTCCTTTTGTACACACAGACCTGGTTTATAAACTCGAATTGCACAAGCCTCTGCAATTGCAAGCATCTTCTTGTTTCTTTGTCTGCTGACAGTAGTGAATGACTTCACCGCATCGATAGCATGTCCGTAATCCACAAGATGTTTTGTTATTGAGGATTTTGGCACTTTGTATTCAGCTGTTTTCAACCATTTTAGCCACAATGTTGTATAACCCTTCATTCTAGCATTATTTCAGTACTATAGAATTTCTCATTTACACTCTTCGGAATTATAAATGATACTATCTCATTTCGTAATGCACGTCTCCATCTGTTTCACATTTCATCACATTTGGTTATTTCATGATGAACTATTTTGTTTTTTTACTTTGATTACAGCTTGATGCCACACTGTATTTTTGATACAAGTATGACATTTTCAGCATGTGATATCGGTAACCTAAATTTTGCAGGCCGACCATAGATATCGGGTGTGCGTCGGCAGGAGATCGAACCCTGGCCCATGTGCATGGTCGGCGAGAGTCATAACCACTGTACCACTATCCACATTGAGTTCTTACTCTCTCCTCTTTAATGCATACTGTTTCATACTACACAACTCACCTGATGCCTTTTACAACCTTCAACTGACTGGACTGGTCAGCTTTCCCTTTCAAACATTATCCATGGATCTATTATGATTAATCACCATCGCCGTCCCTCACGTCATTATATATTTGATAATTGCACTCGGCTCACACCACATTTATCACACAAGTGTTATTATTTATTTTTCCACCCTATGATGACTAATCTGTAAGTCGGTTAATCCTACGTAAAAATACATCCGCCGAATAACTCGTTATTATATTGTAACAAGTTTCATCACAAATTGCTGACATCAGTTAGAGAACTATTGGAAGCCACTAGGAGGGAGTGTTAGATAGCCGCGTTTCGTCCTAGTCTTGAACTATTCTTCTTCAACAGTACTCATACATCCGACTTTCGAACCTAGAACCCATTGGTTCCAAGTCAAACTCGTAGATTATTCAGCCACTGGGAGATAACTTGATGGCCAACCACTCATGAATTCTAACTTCTACCAAATTCGTGATTTTAGTCCAACCGCCACCTGTGGATGTCATCGGCGAGTGAGTATCTCTCCTCACCCCCCACCTCTCACTAGAACTCCGGTCAACATCATATTGAAGTCAGTCACTAGCTGCTAATATCAGACAGATGATTGTGACTGTGTGTGAAGGCTGAGATAATGCCCCAAGTGCCCAGACTGAAGCAGGTGGTTGTCTTAAGGGACCGACGCTTCACAGTCTTTGACTTGGAGTCTAATCCCCAGGGCAGTGGAACAGCGTCAGAAGCTACGTTCCCATGGCTGTCGGTTCAGATTCGATTCTGGAGCTCATGGACCACATAGTAACTGCTTTTAGTCTAACTGCTATCCAAACAACCTTCCTGACATGGGAGGACCTGCAGGAACGTAAGCCCCAGCCAGTGTAGCTTGTTAAGTCACTGAGGTATTCAGGCAGCAGTTGTCGGCCAGCCTCAGAAAGATATTTTTAATTGAGACGATATTTTTTTTTCCTTTACGTCCTCAGTGGAACATAGGGCCTCAAGCTAGTCGCTTGAAGTCTCTGTAGCAGTGTTTAATTTTACAGGATGGTAGCCTCATGCCCAACCTTTCCTTTTTACCAGAATTATTTCTGGCTTAGCGAGGTAAAGGAGTGCGTCGGCCTGGGATCGAACCCCGGACTATGTGCATGGTCGGTGAGCGTCCTAACCTCTGTGCCACCGACGATAATAATAATAATGAGATGGAACAAAGTAAACGATATCAATACGACAGATTCTGAGCAGTCGCTATTCCCCTCTGTACAAAGAGACAGGGTTTATATGGGACCTAATTGCACGACTCTCTGCAATTGCAAGCGTCTATTTGTTTGCGGATTTGATCACGAGTGGGAAGTTACCTGGAGTCCAAGTGAGATGTGATAATCAGCGGAATCAACCAAGTCAGGTAAAACAACTGTTACTCGCCGGTGATATGGACTGGTCGTTGATATATATATATATATATATATATATATATATATATATATATCCCAAAATGGCAGAAATCGGAATTCATGGGCCATTGTATTAGATCCCAGTGGCTGAATGGTTTATGAGCCCGTCTTGCAACTTGAAGGTCCTAGATTCAAACCCCTGTGGGCGCACACACCGATGAAGAGTCCCAAACTACTACCCCGCCCCTTCCCTGGTAGCTTCCAGAGTTCCTCTAAATGATGTCAGCAGCTCGTAATCAAACTTAAAACAAATTGAAACCCCACGAACTAACTTTTGAAAGTCAAAAAAAACAACAGTTAAGAGAAACTACCGCTGCTTTCGCCCTATAACAAAGGTAAGTGCGATAATTGAACACCTGGTTAGCAATCATCCATCATTCCATCTCAACAAACACCTCCTGCTTCAAAGTAATCTACAGAGTCAAGAATAACCTACCACCAAAGGCGATACGATTTCGTTTTCTTTGTATCACTGAAGCTCTGGCCATTCACATAGAAAAACCGGAGCTGTGCATACAAAAGAGGATTACTCAACCACTTATACTGTCATGGTAACAACTTTTTTATTTGATTTAAATTTTTTTGATTTTGGTGACTTAATTTTGTTTCTTTTGCCTGCTCTTTAATTGCTTATAATTCTTGTATTCATTTAGAACTCTCACGTAATTTCGTATTATCTACTTTGTTCTTATGTGCATCCTGAGTAAAACTCACTCATCAAACTATTCATATTATTATTACATAACTTCTTTTTTATCAACTGTTTATGACAACTCATCACCTTTGTTACTACCATAATTTCATTAACACCTATTTTTCTTGACTGATTTTATATTACGTAACTCCAATTACCAATTTTACCAATGTACAACGGCACATGTCAAGTGATCCACACCGGAAAACTCAGCAAGGCGTTTGGAGTTAACACAGGAGTCAGACAAGGCTGGCTGCCTATTATCACCGATGATATTACTAATTGTGGTGGACTGGATTATGCGTAAGACAGTGATTGGGAAACGAGAAGACAGAGATATCCCGAACCGACGTGAAGAACCTAGAAGACCTGGATTCCGCAGGTGGATGATTTATGTTTTTGATGTCACACAAAATCGAAGACTTACAAGCGAAAACCAACAAACTGGTCGAAGAAGCAGCCGGCGAAGACAGGACTCCAGGTGAACATAGACAAGACGGAGGTTATGAAAATAACCAACCAACAACAACAGCAGCAGCGACATCCAGCGCCAACCACCATCAACGGGAAGGATCTGAAAGAGGTTACTTCATTCACTTACCTAGGGAGAATTGTATCAACTGCAGGCAGTCGGAACGGACGAGGATGTCAAATCGAGCGAGAATCGGGAAGGCGAGAAACACATTCACTCATCAAACTGAAACCAGTCTAATCTGGAAATCTTCGTCACTCAGCATCAACAACAAAATTCGTTCGGATTTTCAATATAAACGTCAAGTCAGTCAGCTCTTCTATACGGATCAGAAAGTTGGCGGGCGGGTCACAAAGAATATTTCCAACAGCCTGTTGCAGACCTTTATCAACAACTGTCTTCGCTGGCTCTATAGTGAAGATCAGATGGCCGGCCGGGCCGGAAAGAATCACCAACAAGAAACTATGTCTGGGAACAAACAAAACAAGAACCAATCGCCAACCAACAAATTTGCAAGAGAAAGTGAAGATGGATGGACTGGACACTCGCTGAGGAGGCCCTCGCTGGGTGACATCGCGCGCGTCGGGCGCGCCATTACTCGAGTGGAACCAAGCCGAAAGGGAGGCGGCGAGTGGGACGTCAGTGCAAGGTTGGGTGACATGGAGGAGATCGTGTGAAGAGGAGTTGAAACAGTATGTATGGACTAACATGGATGCAGATGAAAAGTACAGCAGAAGCAAGACAGAAGCAAGTGGAGACGTGCAGTTGAAGCCCTATGTTCCACTAGGGACCCAAAGGAACAATAATAATAATAAAATTACCAATCTTTACCTGTATAGTTAAAATAACCATAACCAATTGTAATTTTGTTTGACAAACTTAATGTACATATATATATATATATATATATATATATTTGCAATTGTACAGCTAAGCGTGAATGAATTCGCCGCCGAAAAGAGACTCTTCGCTGAACTAAACGTGTTTTGTTTTCATCAAAGGCAAAAACAAACAAAAACAAAAAGACGCTATACATTTCACCTCCATCTAATTAAATATTTTATTCAATTGAATCTAATAAAGATATACAGTTTGTGTAAAAACCCTTCACACCTGGGCATTCACAGAGTAACAGACACAGATACACACACACGCACACAATGAAGAAGAAAAAATTAAGCAAAAATTGATGAAAAATAATTTTTGAAAAATTGACAAGAACGATGAACTGCTTGAGATTTACTGTACTCCTCCTCCTCCTCCTCCTCCTCGCCCTCGCATCCCCGTGCCACTCCACTTATACAGACATGCTATGGAATGGAATGGAATGGAAGAAGACTAGGAGGGTAAGCGAAGGTGAATGTAACTGGTCTGACTACAGGATAGTTTCTGTTGGGCCGCTTGCAAAAATTATATATATGTATGTATGTATATAATATCTTGTAGAAGTTTATGACGTAATACTGTTTGTATTGGAATCAGGTAAGTTATTTAACTGTTCATTAGTAGTAGTAGTCGTTGTATCTTCAGGGATCATGTTATCCGTCACAGGAGGCTTTTTCTTTTTACGATAACATCGTCTTGTATGCCCACGACAATTATCTGTACAATGGACATGTTTACGTTTCTGCTGTTTATCCTTATCAGAGTTATGCTCTGAATCAGATGAAGAGGAGGAAGAGGAACTGGATGATTCATTCCATCGTCTTGGTTTTTCATAAATACAACAACAATTCGACTTTTTTCTACCCATAAATTCATTATCAATTGTACCGTCAACCCATCGAATTGCTGGCCCGCGACTTGTTGATGGTGTACTGTCGACATTGTCTGTTGTTGTTGTTCTTGGTGGTGGTGGTGTTGTCGCTTCAGGATTGGCAATTCCACGAATTATTAGGGTCTATAAACATTTTTAAGAAATAATATTATATAAAGTATTAAAATATAGAAAAAATCTCCAATTCGAGACATTTAGAAAACAGAAGAACTAAGCGAAGAAATATTTACTTTTCAGTTAGACGCTCATCTCACTGTGGCTTTACACTAATATACACGTATAGCATTTTTATTACAATACACAACAGTTTACCAATCAGGTAGTGGCACTGATATGCTTGTTAACAATAATTAGTTGGTGTCAAAATGTCAATGGGTTGATAATAAACGAAGAAAATTAATACACACAATTAAAAGGTGGAAATGGATACAACAAGTGGATTGCATGTTGCATAATTTTGGAAAAGTGAAGAGTAACTAGGGAACAAGTGTGTGCACAGGTTGATTACGTAACAAATTGTTGAAGAAAATAAAACAAATTGGACAATGATAATTTGTAACTAAGGTTGAAGTGGTCATCTCCATGACTTCTGTAATCTTTGTTTCTCCCCTCAGCATATCATGTAAAGAGAACAATATATTTAATATTTTTAAACATCCTAGGATTTCCATACCGAATCGACAATACTGTGTGAAACAAGCCCACGACAGTTTTCGCTTGTATTATTATTATTATTATTATTATTATTATTACCCTAGCTGTCATCATTATTATTATTTCAATTTTATATGCTGCATGTTTCTGACATTACCTCTATTGTAAATATGGGAAATTTTCTGTGTGATTAATTTTATTTATAATTTGAGGAAATTAGATGCAATATTGTGTTTAATGCTGAAAATTCCATTCTGTATCACAAGTACTGTTTTTGGAATAAAGTATGTTATTATTATTATTATTATAAAAATAAAATAATTTTAGAAGGATTTGATTTTATTTTGATTTTGATTACAGCTTGATGCCACACCGTATTTTTTGGTGCAAGTATGGAATTTTAAGCATGTGATATCGGTAGCCCAAATTTCGCAGGCCGACCATAGATATCGGGTGTGGGTCGGCAGACCATGTGCATGGTCGGGGAGAGTCCTAACCACTGTGCCACAGACGCACATGTAATTAAAGATGAAGTGGTCAGAAAAATACGTTGTACGTTCGAGACATAAGGACAAACTACATAAATTTGTCTCCTCTTCTATGTGTATCTAACAGTTTGACTGCAGCTGCGGAGCCAGCTACACCGAACGTACAATTAGGCAGGTTCATCATCGTATTTCCCAACATCATCCAACATGGTCAAGCAAGGGATAAACAAGATCTATTCGTAGCTCTATTTTAGCACACCTTGTAGATAGTGAGTATAAGGTTAATGTTAAAACAGCATTTAAAATTATCTATCGTATTCCTACTAATCTTAACTTTGCTTTACGAGTTCGTCTTCTACATACAACAGCTGAAGCAATAGGAATCCACCTGAAGAAGCCAAACCTGTGTGTTTAGAAGAAATTTTTACAACCACTTTCCTTACCTTGCTTGACCATTGTTACATGAATGTATAAACCGGACTACTTCGCTCCCCTCCCCCTAAACCTTTAAAAATTATAAAAATTATACTTGTCCACATTATTTTATTTATTTTTTCTGACTATTTTATCTCTAATTACGTGTTATGCTTGTAAAATTAATTTATTCTAACCATTTCTACCTTTTAAATCTGTATTGATTTTCTTCCTTAATTATCACCTACCGCCTTGACATGCTGATACTGACTAATTATTGAAAAGTAAATATTTCTTCGCTCAATCTTTCTGTTTTCTTAATTATTTAAAATGACAAAAAAGTGGTGGTGGTTGTTATAACTGTAGGGAATTAAATGAAGACGTTTTCACCTTGCTCTGTCTGCGCCTGAACTAATCTGTCTATCTGCTCGTCGTACCTTCCGATTTAGTAAAGCACGCAAATATCAAAAGACAAAGGCTGGACTGTGACTGTGTATTGAAGTGCAACAACGAGAAAGAAAGCCATGGTATTTATACATTTTACAACAATATGGACAGCTAACAGCATTTGAAATAATTTATCTTAATAGCCAATAACAAAGTGCGTGAGAGATGATAATATACCATATGTGCGAGGTTGACAGTCAGTAACAAAATGTGTGGGAATGATAATATACCATATATACAAGATTAGCAGTCACTACCAAAATGTGTGAGAATGATAATATACCATATATACAAAATTAGCAGTCACTACCAAAATGTGTGAGAATGATAATATACCATATATACAAAATTAGCAGTCACTACCAAAATGTGTGAGAATGATAATATACCATATATACAAAATTAAACAGTCAATACCAAAATATGTGGGATCCTATCAGTGGTGGTGAATTTATTTGTTTACAATTTTTAAAAAAAAAACTGAATGTTTTTCTGAAGTTCATGAACATTATGCTTTGCATTCCCCCCCCCCCCCAATGGAACATAGGGGCTTTAAGCCTGAGCTTTGAACTATCAGTCACACAAGGTGGTTTTATAAGATGAGATAGATGCTTTCCTCACACCTAACCTTCCCTGTTTATCGGATGGCTTACAACGGACTAAAGCAGGTAAAGCAGGCACGTGCGCTGACCGGAACTCAAACTCTAGACCACGTGCATGGTTGGCAAGCATTCCATCGTGGGATTGACTTGCTACCAGGGAATAATCTCGGTGACTTAGAATATACAGACGATATAGTCTTTCTAGGCGAGGACGCTGACAAAATGCAGAGCCTCCTGAACACCTTGAGCTGCAATCTACGAATGTTTGGCATGCGATTCGCTTCATTTATGAAATACGAGATGATGTTACAGGAATAGACTACACTGACTCCTAGTTTAGAAATAGGGAGTGAAGTGGTAGAGCACATTGACCGCTCCACCTATTTGGGAAGTACCATCAGTTAACTCCAACGGGTTGATCTCTGACGAAATCTCAGCACTGATAAAAAGGGCTCGTTTTGCATATCCCAGTTTACTCCGTCTCTGGCGTAGACGTGATATCCAGCTGGCTGTCGACTGAAAGGCGTGTGTACTGTTCAGCAGTCCGCTCCGTCCTCCTTTATGGCTAGCTGTGAGACCAGGCCATTGAGAGTGGAAGGCATGAAAAGATTAGCTGTCTTTGATCATAGGTGCCTGCGCTCTATCTCCCGTGTCAAGTGTTGGTATAATAAGGTGAGCAATATTGAGGTTAGGCATCGATCGAGTGCTAGGTAGGTGGGAGGAGAAATCAATCGACGAGGCTGTGAAATTACATCGACTGAAACGGTTAGGACATGTGTTACGCATACCTGCCTTCCTCGACCGACGTACAATGTTAGCTGACATAGGGACAGGTTGGAAAAGAGCTAGCGACGGTTAAACCAAAACATAGCACCAGTCAGTGAAATCCACAACAGTTAGTTTAAGCTAGTCACGTAGGAAGGTGTAGGTTGGCTTCCTGGTCGGGGTCCTCTGGACGGTAAAACCAATGGTTGGAAACAATTGGTGATACGGCTGAAAATCGTTCTCAATGGCCAGCGCGGATGCATCCACTCCTTGTGACCTTTGATTTCAAATGAAACTATATTGTTCTTCATTACTACTATTCCTTTGTCTGATACCTCTGTTTACTGTCTCTATCATACATTTCTGCTACTTTCTTGTCTTGCTTTGTGTGTTACATGGAGTGTGGCGACTTGAACTGCTGCATATGGGTGAAAAATTCTATGTCGAAAACAGACAGACAAACAGACATTCTATCGTGGGACCACCGACTAAAACATGAACTTGGAGCTAATATATATATATATATATATATATAAACTACAACAGAAGATAACCTCCTTGCTTAGTTTACTAGCCAGTCTTGAGTTCAAAATAAAAGAGGAAAGGTGAAGTGTGGGGGGTTAGCAGCCCTACCATAGTAAATCGCTGAGACCAAACCACAGAAACTCTAAAACCCAGAAAATAAGTTTATAAAAATAAAGTAATTCTTTGCAGGAGTCGGAGAGACGGAATGTGGCACAGGTTGGTGAAAAGCCTTCGAGAAGTCAGTCAGTCAGTCAGCCAGCCGACAATGTGTCTTCCCTCGATAGGGGACATGCAATATCTCCATGATATTCGAAGCTGTGATGGAAGACTGTTCGGATTGCAGAAGAAATTAGCAGATACGGTATAGAAGTGCTAGGAATCTGGAAGAGCAGATGGCATGGTAGTGGAGTCTCCTAACTGTTAACTGGAGAGTCAATAATCTTCTCCCGACGACTACTGCAGACAACAACCACAAGCACACTGAAAGAGTAGCTATCATTATGTCAATAACAACAGCATCTAAGGCTTTTATGCAGTGGGAACCAATCTCCTGTAGGATAATGACAGTAAAATTCCAATCAAATGTTAAAATCGTCCAATACTACACACCTACGAACAACACAGACGAAGAGAAGAAAGAAGTTTTCCAGCTCCTCTAGGTAAACTTGTATATTTATCAGTCCGGTTGTAAGCGCCATACGTTCTCATTTGTCCTTTCATATTTGTGAGGACCCCCCCCTCCACCGCCATCGAGTGCAGGCAGTGAATAGGACTCACCAGCCAGAGGCTATAAATTCGTGACCACATGTAAGCATCTCAAGAGGACGGCTGAAGTCTATCTATCCTTCTCCGTACCAGATTGTTTATGGATACACCTTGTTATTTATGTAGTGTAAAATCATCAACAGTGCGTCGGTGGTACAACGGTTAAGACGCTCGCCGACTATGCACATGGTTCGGGGTTCGAATCCCACCCGACACACTCCTTTACCTCTATAAGCCAGAAATAAAACTGGTAAAGAGGAAAGGCTGGGCATAAGGATGGCAACCCCATCCTGTCAAAATAAACACTGCTACAGAAACTTCAAGCCACTAGCTTGAACCTCTATGTTCCACTGGGAACGTGAGGGAATAAAAAAAATCAACAATAAAAATATGTATAATGAGATTTTATTCCACCTCCCCCCCCACCTTCATTGCCATTAGTCATCACTAAAGTATTGGATGCTTAGTGTATGTAAAAATACATATAACCAGAACAAAGCTACTTACTCGGCTAACATCGGCATTGACAACTGTAGTCGGTTGTTCTTCCTGTTCATGTACGCTAGTTCTTAACTCCATATTTATTTATTCCATAAAGATGTATTAATTGTGTGTGATTGTCTATCTGAAAACAAACAAAACTGTATTATATGCAGATTTAGTTTACAAATAACTACTTATACACCGATGTAGGCATAAAAACGATGAAAACAAACAAAAACAAAAACATCTAGTTGAATTTTAGATTTTCCCGTCGACTGATTGGACCGAATTGCTCGGTCTCAGGTTGACAAGTCTGTTGGCTTCTTGTGCAGATGCTTCGACGATGTCTGAGCAATTAGTTAGTATTTAATTGGTAGATGGTGACTAGCCTCGGTGGAACATCATCACTCACTGAGAAACGCTGGCACATCCAGATGACGAGTCCCAAATAAGACGAAATGCGCATCCTGGATTCCACTGCTAGTCACCATCCACCAATTAAAAACAAAAAGATTTAGATGTTTCAATCAGAAGAATAAAGAATTATCCCCAATTATCTCACACTAGTCCAATGTATTCAAGTATCTGACGGGTGTTAATAACACACCTGAACACTATATATCACTTCTCCAATTATAGTTGGGGTTGAAATAACTGTCTCTAATATACAATGTAACAAATTACCAGGATCTATTAGCTTGAATCCAGAGATGTTTAAGGATAAGGGTAATGAATTGCTGACACTATACCAACCAAAGTACTATTTAACATACGGTTATACAATGTAGTTTTGCTAAGATGATCTATGCCGCTCATTATTCAAAATTAAGAAGGAAAGGGGACAAATTGTTTGATTCAATCAAACCAACAGGGATTAGTAAGGCTTATACAGCACCCAACGGTGCACAGACGATTGGAGACTATGTGAATATTTCATAAAACAAGCTCAAGATAGTCACGTAGGTCTTAGGCCTAGATGACTCTGTTGGTCGAATATTCACCTTCGACCGGCTTTAGAACATAGACGGGGGAATTACAAGGGACAAGATGGTCCCTTATTTCCTGTTCCAGAGTTGGCTGGGGAGTTTCACTCGCCAGGTATCGTGGCTACATCCAGATGCTTGATGCGAGTAAAGAAACTGTAATGGGGAAAAAAATCCACTCTACTGTCTAACTGACTTGTGGAAGTGGAAGTGGTTATTATTTCCCGGCTACCCACACCATGGAAGTTGGTATTTTCCCCGGAGGGTAGCTCAAGTAGAAAGAGTATTAATTTTGCTTGAATGCAAAACCCAGTGAATAATTGCGAGGCCAGTCACACATACACACACACAATCTGTTTGAAGTGATTTCTGGAGTTGATTCTGTATTAAGACCTCAACACAGCAAAGTAATTCAGGATGTACAATTTTTGGGTTCATCCTTTTATAATACCCACTCTTCAGAGCGGAGAGGTAGTATAGATGGTTTGTTGATTGTCCGAAAGAGGTATCTTACTGTTATTATATACTTAACTGCTAGCAGCATGACTTCGCCCTAAGACACAACATAAACAGCTTACACTACGATGGTAACTGCTTTAATTTTTATTTTTTTTAATTACAGCTTGATTCCACACAATATTATTGGTACATGTATGGAATTTTCAACATATAACATCGGTAGCCCAAATTTTGCAGGCCGACCATAGATATCAGGTGTGCGTCGGTAGGGGATCGAACCTCGGACCATGTGCATGGTCGATGACAGTCCTAACCGCTGTGCCACCACTATCCAAACGACCTTTCTGGAATGGTACGGACCGTAGGAGCAATAGTTCTATCCAGTGTAGCTCACTGGGTTATTGTGTTATGCAAGCCCAACAGTCCTATCAAGGTACCAGCTATCGGTCAGGCCACTTTCTTGTAACTCAAACAATGCTGTATCATCTAATGCATAGGTGTATTCAGTGACGATAATCAATGATTTCCGTCGAGGGTATTCAGTTTCACCGCCCTTACTTAATTTTAACACTCATGCTTATGGGTCTGATTGAATCAAAAGTCTCATCAAATTTGAAGTTTGCAGGACATATAGTCATTTTAAGGTACGAAGACGAAATGCATTCGCGCCCGAACGAAACTCTACAGGGCGTAAGTCACAGGACTTTTAGGATATAAGCTTCATCTCTACACCTAAAAACATTGTATTACTTCTCTCTTTCTCTCTCTCTCTCTGGACTAAGGTGAGGGGGTTGCTCTATACATCCGGGATGACAGGAATTAGATCGACGTTGTCGGGAGCTCATGACAGTGGCACCAGTGAAACCGGAAGCTGTGTCATTAACTTGAACAAGGGCACTGTGACAATTGGGATTATTTATAGAAGTCTTACCAGCCAAGCTGACGATTTCGTTCTAAGTCACCTCAGGACGTGGAGTAGTAGGAATAGTCTAGTAGTCTAATAGTAGGTGACTTTAATGTGCCACATATTACTTGGGAGGAATTAACATCGACTACTTCGTACAACTGTTTCAACAGGGAACTCATACTGGCAGTACTTGAATGCGTACTTGTGCAGCACATAGATGCACCAACACGATACCACCCTGAACATGATTCGTCCATTCTAGACTTGGTGCCAACACACCAGAAGGAGGATGTCAGTGGCATTAGGTGCCTGGCGCCGCTAGGCAGTAGTGACCATATAGTTATCATGTGTAGGATTGGGGCTGTCATACATAGGTCAACAGCTGCTCGCCCAAACGTTTGGAAAGCGAATATACCAGGAATCCGAAATGCAGCAACCCTAGCTGACTGATCTGTTAATACACACCGGACTGTCGAAGAGGCTTGGGTGGGATTTAGAGTGCGCCACTGCACCCTTTGTACCTTTGGTCTACGCCTCGAAAACTATCTCAAATCACCCTGAATTAGTAATGAAATAAGGTTATTAAGAAGACGAAAGAACTTATGGAAACGGTTAGCTGTGACTGGTAGGGCTGAGTTTCGGATGGAATACCGCAAAGTTCAAAACCTTTGTAAGTATAAGATTGACAAAAGTCGTTTAGGGTATGACAGACAGTTAGTACTGGATTGTGTGCATTATCCAAAAAGACTGTACTCGTATATCAAACGCAAGACTAAAACTAGCAGTGGCATACCATCCTTCATTAGCAACACTGGAGAGGCTGCCGAGTCAGACGAAACAAAAGCTGAGAAGCTCTCCGAACACTTTTGTGATGTTTTCCCACCTAATCGCACCACTCATGGGTGTAGCGAGGTCACTGATGTAGCCACTAAAATGCTCACAATTGTAGTAGAGGATGCAGTGGTTCTCAAACTACTGTCTAAGCTGAAGCCAGGTAAATCACCTGAACCAGACAGACTTCACCCTAGATTGCTAATCTCCTTGGCGGATATAACACACATTCCACTTACGGAGATTTTTCAGATGTCTCTGACCCAGGCTAGGCTACCTAGGGACTGAATAGATGCTTTTATAAGTTCCATCCTCAAAGATGGGAACAGTCAGTTAGTATCTAACTACCGACCTGTAAATCTGACCTGCATTATAGCAGAGGTGTTAGAAAAACCCATAAGGGATCAGCTCTTAGCTCATATGGAAAAACACGGCTTACTGGCAGTGGAACAGCATGGATTCCGACCACCTTTGGAGTCTGGAAATTAATTCCAAGTCTCACACGTCGTACTCCATGGGGGACACAGAACTACCAGACGTTAGAGGACAAAAGGACTTTGGGGTTATTGGAAGCCATGACTTAAAAACAATGGCAAATTGAAATATAGCCGCAGCTAAGGTTTTTCGAATGCTACAGGCACTTCGAAGGGCTTTCAAATTATTAGACGATGGTATGTTTCAAGTACTCCATGCAACATATGTCAGACCTCATCTAGAGTACTGCATACAAGCGGTGAGTCCATGCTTCAAAAAGGAGGCACATATCCTGGAAAGAGCACAGAGGGTAGGAATCAAATTAGTTAGTGGTATCTCACACCCTCCTTATGATATGAGAATGGAACATTTAAATTTCTTCCCATTATCATACCGAAGGAGGAGAGGCGACCTAATTTTGGCTTACCGTATATTCAAGGATGATATAGGGATCGACCTTTCAAACCTTTTCTATCCCTTTAGGATACATTTACGAGGTCACCACAAGAAGGTGCTCAAACCGAGGTCGAATAAAATACGTGTGGAGTTTAAATTCTCTCACAGAGTGGTCAACGACTGGAACTCCTCACCTGATTCAGCAGTAACAGCTCCATGGGTGAACACTTTCAAAGAGAAACTGGATCTCTGCAGAGATATATATCGCGAGGATTAACATAGGCAACAAGAGCCCTCTATCTTTATAATCTGAATCTGAATCTAAAATGGGTTTAAAAAGAAAATCTTCCAGAGAAATTGTTCACCTCTTTCCATTCATTTAACTATCACTATTATCTACTTCATTCATTCTCAGTACTTTGAGACCTTTAACCTTATGTGCTCCCAAATTGCTGACTTACGGAATTCCTACTTTGCTATGATTTTGTTAAACTACTCTTACTTGCCACTATTTTCTAATAAAACTGCTGGTGATTACATAGCTAGCAGCAATAACTATATTCGAGTGGGTTGTATATGTTGCAGTGAGGTCTGTGACAGGCTTAAGTGGAAACAGTACAGTCTGCCTGTCCTATGCGCTTGATTAACTACACATTAACATGCTGAATAACTGTCGCCATCTTTCCATCTACAACAGTACCAAAAGATGCCGTCATAGTTTTCTGAAAAGCTACTATCCATGTAGCAGAAACTTTAAGCGAGGTCCGTGGACAAGACTAAAAGGACCATGAACACAATGTAGTTCAGCTAGCATTAACTTCGGGCGCACTGCAGAACTTTGGGGCAGACTGCAGATAACTGTCACACTTTCTATAATGCCCCCGAAAATACTGGCTGGAGTTTGTGAGACAGACCTCCTGAAAGTCTAAAAGCCTCGCTTAAAGCTGTAAAACTATCCACAATAATCCAGAAGCTCATCTCAGACCATAAACAACAACTACCGCAATGCGCACCGACGTTCTTGCTGGCTGAATTAGAACAAGTGT